TGACAGCATAAACATTTCTTAGCGTGAAGATAATTTCAAACTTATAAGAAATTCACAATCTTTTTCAATTGTTCGAAGTCTTAATTCTTGATATGTAATAGAAACTGGCAGATTCAAATCACGGGAAGAAATCATTATGAATTTATAATTTTTCATTGGCCGATTTCCGACATACTTTATCTGTTTTTATCACAAGTTACACTGGACGAGATTTGTCCATGAATATCAGTTTAACCAGTTTTGTCTACACCTTTAATGTTTCATTTGTATACTTTAATTCGTTCGAGCACTCATCTTCACAATGTCAAGCTATTACGAACTGCGTCTTATACCTTGACAATTGTACGTTACCCGAATACAGCCAATAACGGTCCCGACAGAATGTCCGTAATCAATAAGCCTATAATATTATGTCTACGATCTTTCTCTCGAAGGCTCTGGTTGACTGTATGGGCTGGCGTCCAATCCAATCATACAATCATTCGTGATACAAGAAAGGTGGCTATTGCAGTTAAGGTATAAGACGAAGTACGTAATTGTTTCACCCTGTGAAGATGTAAAGCACTATGCAAAATACCCACATATATTAATAAAAAATATACAGCCAAATCACAATGATAAGCACATTATACATTACATAATAACTGATATTGGAAGGTAAATCAGAATCCAGACTCTATATATCTCGTAATTGTTTCCTAGGTTTCTAATTATTAACCCAACTTCTATAAATTACAAATCACGGGGCACCGGAAGGCAGCACGTGATTTCTCCGTATTATATGATTTTAAATATTAAAATAGCATTACCACTGGACGAACTGATTTTACTATTAGAGAATTAGCGGGGGATATCAGAGTTACCAGACAATTACATATATTACAGCTTGCTGATTTCAGATCTAGACAATACAAAACACGACGGGAAGTCTTCTTGAAACATATATAATCTTCCAGTTCTAATACATTTAAAACTTTATACGTCATCACGAATTCAATTAAAATACGTCATGAGTATCCCTTAATAACGTCATTATTTACCTTTAGGTATTACGTCATCCAGTATCCTAGTCGTCATGGACGTCATTAATTACGTCATCAATTACATCATAAATTTTTTTATCATCACGTATCCATGTGTTTTGCCGCATCACGTTTTAGAAACGGATACTTCAAGTCACAGAGATTCTCTTACAACTACACGCCATTATCTCGTATATCAATCGGATGAAATGGTCCTACTCTTTTGTTCTGATTTCACCTTCCGAAACAGACTAATTTAGAATAGGTATATTTAGATTTACATATCCAGATAGATGACTTATCTCAAAAACACTAAGCATGATGATCTTATTAAATAAAGATCCTGGTTATGAGTTTTTCTTTATCTCAAGTTCATTAAAAGCTCTACAATGATGTTATTGTGAGCTAATTTCATCCTACGATGCTTAAATATTTGAAGAATTCTCTTTTTGTGAAGATTATTAATAAATGTAAAATGATTTGAGTAAAAAAGGAATTCGTTTGAAGATTGACCTTTGTAACGGTATACATCTATTATCTTTTTCAATAATCTCTGAATGTGATTTTCATCAGCATTGATTTTAATTCATGAAGATAAATTCTCATTGCGTCATTATTCAGTGACATTGTTAATTACTTCCAGATGTCTTCAGTTATATTCTTTAAGAAGAATTCCACAGATAACCATGCAGAGAACGCTTTTCCATTTACACTACAACTGAAGAACCGTTCTCAGACCACTTGAGTTTACTGTAATGTAAATGGACACATTTTATCGCGGTACGTGTCTGGTCCTGACCGAGAACGGAACGCTTTATAGTGGCCTGGTGTAAAAGGGGCTTAAAAGTACCATTTACTGAAATCTTACCAGATAATTTAAACTATGCCATTGTCATCTGTCTTTAAGTGTCACCCGATCCCGTTCTTTTTCACTACTAGTATCATATATAAACCAGAAAATTATGGTATTACTGATCATTATTATTTATAATGAAATAAAATATTAAGCTCAGTCATCTATCTATCTAGTCTCTATAATCCAGTGCCTCTTTGTCTATATATGTACAGCTCAGAGTCTGGGCGTCAGAGACTCTCTGGGCGTCAGAGACTAAGTCATCTCTATTGAAGTGTACAGTAGGAACAATGTGAAATTATTGTTTGGGAAGGTTCATGATGATACTTCCCGGTTATCTGTGTTGAGTGGTCTAAACCCCAAGTGGAATCACAGTGCTATCGACAGTTGGTCTAATGTCTGATATCAACCCCTACACTAACAACACACAACATAGTCAACATTCTTCTGTGTAGGCTACTTAAAAACATGTGGAAAATTTGTTCAATAAAGCCGAGGGGTTTGTTCCATACAATACAAGAGAAAAAGTACCAATTTGATAAGAACAGCTTGATATGAATTTTTCTTTGCGAAATGTTACCTTCTGATTTCAGCCACTGGGGGTAGACGTGTCTAATACAATAAAGACCAATAATGTGCGTGTACGATTAAAGCTGTGGGCGATTGAAAACACTTGTTTAATATTCTTAACGCGTAAATTATTAATAAATCCGAAACGAAACTGTAAAAAGTATTATATTGAAGCGGGAAGGAAATATCAAACAAGTATGGCAGGTCAAACATTTTTTACGGATACCGGTACATAAAACTTTTCAAAATCGTAGTTAACAGCCAAAAATTCTTTTTCCGGCTATTAGAGCTTAATTTCCTCTTTACAAGTCACCTTTTTATAAATAAATAAATTGATGTGTCGTTTCTTTTTTTCACTTAGGCCTACCAACATTCTCACAGATGGTTACTACTGACGTCACAATCAGTGGGGTATTTAGGGGGTTGGCTAATAAGCTATCCCCCCCCCCCCCCCAG